GATATTTTTAATGTGTCGGTTTTATTTTCGATATGTAATTCTGGCTATTTTCCCTCCAGGCATTGGTTACTACGTTTTCGCTTGTAAGCTGCTGCTATTTTCCCTGTTGTTCACGCTCTTATTGTTCCTCTTGTTTTTGGTGTGTTTCTGTATGTGTTTTTAAATAGCCATATATGATTTGATAGGTTAGTACTATTTACATATTTTTTGTTAAGTGATGTTTTGTGTGACTAGCTTTTCTGTTTTCAAGGACCTTTTGTTTTTTTCCTATTTTCTGGATGTACTTTGGTTCTGACCATACATTTATATATTGCATTATTTTGGAACAATGTCCGTTTAGTGGACATTCATACTCTGTTCTGCAGTTACAGTGGTTATTGTGGATGTTTGTGCTGTTTATTTCTCTGTATTTTTTAATGATTTTGTCAATGAATAATTATCTATATATATATTTTTTACATTTTTAATATAACCATTTTTATTTTATTTTTTTAGTTCCATGTGAATGCTAGTTTTTGTTCCAAAAAAACATTTCATTTTACTACTAATTCATATTCTATTTTGGCTTTATTGAAAATTTAATCACTCAACAAGATGTCGGCTAATCTGCGGCTGATAGATTGTCGGATTTTGTTTGATTTTTGTTGGTTGGAGGAAGTGTATATATAAAGTGGGTTGTTGTTTGGTTTTCTGTGCAGTTGATATATGCATCTGTAGTGAGTTAAGTTGAAATTTAAGAAGACTATCTCTTTTGGTTTGTTGAAATTTATAAAGATTATGAGTCCATCGTCTCCGTATAACAAGATGTATGTTTTATAATCCAAGAAAGTGTATGTGGAAAATCTGTAGTCCTACATTGTTCCGTCTCCGTCATGGCTTCCCATAGTGACATCAAATGTCTTTCTTTTCCTATATACACCACATCATTTGTATATTTTTGATAATATAGAATATGTAGAAGTTATAACTATTTATCCTTTTCATCGATTCAAAATGCTTATAGGTGAGAGGTAAAGCTAATGAGAAAAATATAAGAATCTAGAGAAAATTATGGTCATTTACAAATACTGGATAAGATAGATTCATACATGCAAATAAAGAAACTCTATCTATCTATCTATCTATCTCTCTCTCTCTCTCTCTCTCTCTCTCACACACACACACACACATATATATATATATATATCCATTGGTGGAATTGAGACTTTCCTGATGCAGTCGCAACTTCTATGAGCTAGGCTGGACATGTTGCAAGGATGAGTGACAACAGAATATGTCTGGTCAGCTTGACAGTAGATAAAGGACTGTTGGACGACGGTGGCTCAGGTATAATGGCAAGCTTAACCTAACGGTTGTCAATGTGCCACATACTAAATTCGAGCGAGTTGCCCTGGATAGAAATAACTGGAGATGTTTATACCAGAGTTGTATCAGAAATTTAGAAATCAGTCGACAATTGACCGGTTAAGAGACGTAAGATGACCGCGAAAAGCGCCAGTAAATATTCCTGTGTCTATGTCCTGAGACCCTCGCTCAATGTGTGGACTTGTATGCATGTCACCAGCGGAACTGAAGTGTCATATTCGACACAAACATAAAAACTGAATGAGGTTATCGGATCCTCATACATTGACATCGACCGGAGAGTCCATCATATATATATATATATATATATATATATATATATATATATATATATAATTATTTATTTAAAAATATGACTCCAACACGCTACCTAACGAGTTCTTTCCTATTTTCTACACATTTTCACACACACACACACACACACACACACACACACACACACACACACACACACACACACACACATAAATATGTTAATGTTTTAAAGAATATTCAAATTCTTACGTTAAGAAATAAATAACTTGTATGAAAAGCAAATATTTTATTAATTTTTAATATATAAAATGCTAACATTAGGACACTGTCTTTACGAGTTTTGAATATGAAAACCAGAAACTGAAAGATATATAGAAATGAATTCATTCAATATATGATGATAATTCAGAAACTTACAAGGTAACAAATATGCCAAATCTGCCTAAGCGATTTGATTTGAAACTACACTTATAATATGTATGCAATATGTATCTTCTGTTAAAGAGAAAATTATCTCAGTAATGAACGCTTTTTTGTTTATGTGGATATCTCTATATTTTGTGGATTTTACAAACACACTCACATTTTTGGGATTGATGGATAAAAGTTTTCAATGACTGTCTGGAATATAAGATGGCCGACGATATTCATCTTATACAGAAATGCGCGTGCGTGTGTGTGCACGTGAAATGTAAATGTTGAATTTGAAGGACGTGTGCATTGAACTATTATTTACAATTGTAGCTTACCGCTATCGTATTGCTCATAAAATGTCGGATTAGCAGTCTCTTGTTTAGCACTTACGCCAATCATATTCCCTTTCCTTTTCGAAAAACAGCAATCTCCGGTGTCACCTCGGTGAGTACGAATGCTTTCTGTCATCGCTGTGGTGGTCGCAGCCTCGAGCAATGGGCAAAAAATGACTGCAAGTTAGCGTTTCTGAATACGATTTGGGTCTCTTAAGTTCTGTTAGATGTGAGCCAGCGGTATTTCTCTTCCGTTTTCAGAAGTGTTTGTTTATATATTAGGTCCCTTCATAAATAAATATAAGCTGTTTAATTTTTTGGCCTTTCAAGATTGTCCTTGAAGCTATTTATTTTCCTGCAAAGTCGAATCATAATCCATGCAACGACATGTGTGCATTCTGGTTAACATATGTTAGCATATTTAGTGTTGATTTGAATAAAAAAAAGTAATTATAATTAATGAAGTCAAATCCAACCGACGATGCATGGAAAAAGGATTCAGAGTCTAATATTGCGATTAATACAGGGCGCGATGGATAAATTGTCGTCTAAATTACGTAAAACTGAAAATAACACCGACGTCTCATTTTAATAGATATATTTACCAAGATTCCATAAAAAATATCTTGAAATACTTAGAAGTAAATTTATTCAATAAAATTGCCATTGGCTTCAACCATGACCTTCAGATGACTTTGGAATCTTCTGCAAATCTTCTGGACAGTGTCTTTGTTTAAGTTGGTGAATGCTGCCATAATCCTTGCCTTCAGTTCATCTTTGGTACTAGAAAGAGTTTTGTTGGTCTCTCACTCAACTTCGACCTACACATAATGATCAAAGGTGTTGCAGTCTGGGGAATTAGGTGGCCAGATGTAAGGAGTGATGTATTCGCAGAAATTGTCTAACAGCCATGACTGGGTCTTCCATAATCCATCCTCTTGACCCAGAGCAACACTAACTCAAGACTTAATGGAGGCCTCTGTCTTAAGTCTGAGGCCCTCACCAACAAATTCGGGAATTCTTTTCTATCAGAACGATCATAGTGAGTTTTCTGAGTTGCCGTACCTTCGTAATCACCATTAGACTCATCCAACTCTTTACGAATCCTCTGCACTGTCCTCAGATTGACACCCAAACACTCTGAATTATACGTATTGGAGCTTCCGTCGCGAACACCAAGCAGTACAGCACGCCATTTTCCAAATCTCTGGCGGAGTGAATTGCGTCATCGTGCTCTTTTTCTCAAAGACGGTCTCCAACTGACCCTAATATACTGTGCAATTGACAAAATCAAAAACAAACTACGCGCATGCGCAGAATTAAACATATAAAATGGCTACAATTTACCCATCGCGCGCCCTGTACAAAGTATCATTTTTCACTGTTTTCTAAAGATCATAGATTATGTTTATGGTTAGTTTTTCAGATGAAATCGAAAGAGAAATTTTGACATCATCTTTCTTTATGTGCCGTGTCCCTTCAGGATGTATGGGATCATGGCCCTCCACATTTTCCTGTCCTTTGTAGCTCTTAATAAGATTTGTCTTTTTGTTATTTCTCCCAAACACTGTTCTCCGATCCATTTACTCAGTTCATCAATTATGTTATGCGCTGCTTTACTCAATCTGTCCTGTGAATATTAGATTTTCCCTAACTCACGTTGTATGTCTCTTAAAAATTCTTTTCTAATATCTTATAATAATGTACAATATTCTAATAATATTTTTGTATGTTCTCGCATTACGATAATTTGAACATATATAATTACAAAATTCAAAAACCAAAACTTCACTGTGAAATATATTTTGCAAAATGATTTTTGATAGAAGAAGTAAAAATAAAACACGAAATCACCGTCAATGGTGATTAAATCCCAATCGATTTAGTCGATTTATACAGAATCAATTTGAACGAGGGATGCTAGGAATTTTAAATCTAATTTATCTATTTTCATTTAGATTCTTTTTCTTTTTGTTTCCGTCAATTTTGTTTATAGATATCCCACATTGATAATAAAAGATTTGCCAGGAATGATAAAATTCTGTAAGAGCCGGTGCGAAAATTTTCAGTGGATAACCTTGCAATCAAGGGATTCTCTAAGCATTTTCGTCTTTGTGAGCTGTTTTCTCCTTTAATCAGAGTATTTTTTTTATGTCCTATTTGTGGTCAGTCTCGTTACAGTGAGCAACTGATGCATTTAATGTATTATTTTGTAAAATGTCTCTTTTGTATTCATATAATATTTTATGTAGATTCCTTGAGGTTTCTTCTATGTATTTTTTGTGGCAATTATTACAGGCGAGAGAGTAAATTCCCACTTCAAGTTTTAGTTTATGTTTTGTTTAGTATTGACTAAATCTTTTATTAATTTACATTTTATTTTGAGTTTAGATAAAATTTTTTCAATTGTAGTTGTGATAGTGTTTGAAGGATAATATTATTTTTTTGATATTTTGGAATATTTTATGAGCCATTTGTTTTGGGTTGAATATAAAATAACTACGGTACTAATGAAGCTTGAAAAAACATCCATACCTTTCGCGAAAGTGAATATAACGAACCCAATTGGAATTGGAACTCGTCTCTCCGATTAACAATTCCGAGCCATTATCTATTCCACCACCTGCACATCATACTTGGTATTCCCAAGCGATGACCCATCTTGATATTGACCAGGCTCGACGTTACTTAACTTTGGTGATCGTAGGGGAATCGGTGTTACAATGTGATGTGGCCGTAAGCCTTCTAGAATTTTTAGGTAGTCAGTTGCATTGTTCCAGAGGTCATACGAGAAAAGAAGAGGCATCATAACATGACCTCTTTGTGCACCACCAAAAGCCCATTACAGTCGACGTAAAGTGGGTGTCCATGCCATTGGGTGGGAACCTGTCGTTTCCTCTATTCACTTGACTATCTCTGACTTGCGGTGGTTGGTGCCTAGTGCCCAAAATACTGCATGCATTTTCATCTCGTGTGTGAGAATGGAATCTGCCATGTTAATATTCTGGATACGTCGGAATGTTAAAACTTGGCGCATACCTCGTAAGATTACATGAAATCGTCTTCCATTTATGCTCCAATTTCCAGCACATATTTTATACTAGAAGGTGCTTAAAATTTTCAACTTGAGCCATTATCCAGATTAACAAGCAGATTTTTGGAAGGGCTTTTTGGTAGGGCTGGGAACTTTTCAGACCGAATCGTACATGAAAAGCTAGATATGTTCCGCATCTGATTGAATCATTAATTCTCATTACCATTTTAATGTCCTGAACACAATTGTTCACAACCCGCAAGGAAATATTTTTAAAGATCTATTTTGAAAATATAACTATTTATGCAATGACTTGAAGTGTCATAAGCTTTTTGCAGCGTAAATCCTTTTATTGTCCAATGTTGGATGTATTGTTGAGTGTTGCACATTTTGGTTCGTGTGTTCACTTTCGGCGATACATCAAACTGCCAATCAAGCTATAAAAAGTGCATAAACTGAGAGACGAGGTGTGATTGGTGCAGCGAACAGGAGACAAATGTTGCGGTCAGGGAAGTGTGAGTTCGGATAAAAATAAAATAAATTGTTAAAATAAAATATAAAAATGAAATATATAAATAAAAAATAAAAAGAATTACAATAAGGCATGAGCGCTCTCCTTTAAAACCCTTATATTTTTCTCTTTCTTTCTCACACACTCTCTCTCTCTCTATCCTTCTCTTTCTATACTTCTCTCTTAAATAAGGAGGAGGCGACCTTCAAATAAAAAGAGGAGAAGAAAACACTGAACTCTGCCAAAAAACACCTGAAGTTTGCGGGACGAGAGCGTATTTATTTATGACAAATAAATTTATCAAAATAAAACACGTTCCACGCATAAATTCCGATATATAAAAGTATGAAACAAAAAGGAACGCCGGAAAATAAAATAATTTTGACCAATAAAGAAATAACACAAAGAGACTTGATGCTAGCCGAAACCAAGGTTCATGCCAGAATCTCAGAGCCTGGTTAAAAGGATATAAGCTCAAACTTTTGAGTAAAACGAGAAAAGACGGTAAAAGAAACCACGGAACAAGAGAACGCGACCACCGGAGAAACTCGTTGAGAAGTAACTAAGAGTACATTTGCATATTTTTGCCCTCCTTAGTAGCTTGACACTAACCTATTCTAATATAACTACTACCACTAGCACTGTCTGACCTCGAAATTACCAACTGCTAAGCTGAAACTAACATTTCTCCAGATTGCTACCAATATCCGCCTCATAAACGAGCATTTTGCTACACCGAAAATAAATACATTATTCATTATATACCCAGTTATTTTATTTCCGAATTTCCGATAAAGAAAACCCAAGAATTACCCTCCGGCAGAAGTGCTTGTGGATTGCTCGACTTAAGTTCGTACCGCTAATCTCTTGGTTGAAGGAAACTGATTACGGAAATTGCTTACCAGCCAGAAGAAACCGACTAAAAGCTATTCCGGCACTTAACACTTATGGACCGATTCGACCTGAAATTGATACCCGAGGTTCTTCCACTGGCTTATCTGTTGTCGAGTGGGTGGAGAAGGCAGAGCTAATTTGCCAACTATGCAAAGTAAAAGAGTCAGCAACAGTCATTCCTTTGAGGCTGCCAGGGCAACTACAGATACACTGCTAGACTTTCTACTGTCAATCTCTTGATGACTATTCCGGGTTGAACTCTGTCACATTTGTCTCAATTGCACATTAAAATGTCCAACAAAATTTGATATAAAATTGGAAGCAATTATGTTCTCTTCTGTTTCTCTTTGTAATAAAAGGAAAGGACGATGCGTTATGAAAATTGCACCCGTATATCTAATCTGCAGTGAACAACCGAGATGGATGCATAGTTCATAGTTCATGTTTGTGATTTTTATAAGAGTTTCATATAATTAATAACCAAAGCGAGAATGCCGAATGGTGAAACGATTACAATTTAGGATGATTTAAAAATTCCCTTTTAAAGAAGGGCAATATATGCAAGTAGTTATGCCCATGTATGCACATTGCATGTATGTGAGTGTAAGATTAAATGGTATTAAGTGTACGTGTACCTACTAAAAACTTGGTCTGCCTGCATTTTTTTTCCCTTCCTTACTCTACTAACCTGATGATAGCAAAGGCTGATGACCTATGACCTGTCAGTGGTGTTATCATTGAAAACTGTGTATGTCGAATTGTTCTGACAGAATAATAAACGTTATTCTACTTGTATATTTGGCGTGGCGCAAAAACGAAAACAGATTCCCACTTCATTATTTTTATATTGTTCTGCTAAAAGTTATGAATCTAGTTGTCCTATCGACAGCCATTCTTCTTCTGATGCCATGTTGGAAAAGAGAGAGAGAGAGAGAGAGAGAGAGAGAGAGAGAGAGAGAGAGGTAAACAAGTTTAAGGTCAAACGTTTCACCTGACCAGGTAACAAATAAAAACTATATTTATTTTCAGTCATAAAAAACGTCGGTAACAACACTTATATAACAGAAATTATATATTTCCCCCATTCATTCATTATTATTATTATTATGCATTTTATAGTTTCCGCTTTGCCCGTTCTACAGCTGATGTGCTTACGGCCACAACTGAAATAGTTTACCAAACACTTCATAATAACAGAGAAGCTCGTGCCGTGGCTCTGGATATCTCCAAAGCGTTTGATAGGGTTTGGCATGCCGGCCTTCTTCGCAAACTCCAGGGTTATGGAATTACAGGTCAATTGTTCGACTTAATACAATAATTCCTGTCGAACCGTACATTGAAGGTCGTTCTCAACGGATTCTCTTCCAGCTCCTATCCCACGAAAGCAGGTGTTCCCCAAGACTCTATCCTAGGCCCTACCCTGTTTCTTATCTTCAGCAACGATCTTCCTGACGTCATAGATTCCCAAGTAGGCATCTATGCGGACGACACTACTATTTACTCCTGCCTCAAAAACAAATCTAGTGTCGCCGACAAAACTAACCTAGCCGTCTGTCTTGAAAATGACCTCCAACCGGTTGTGGACTGGGGCAGGTATTGGCTGGTTAACTTTAATGCCTCAAAAACAAAACTGCTCTCTATTACTTACCACTGACAACCATCCCTGCCCCCTTTAGAATGTGTGACGCTCAACTTCTCGAGAGCACATCTTTGCGACTGCTCGGTCTTACATTGACCGCTGACCTGAGATGGAACGAATACGTTGAGTCAATAGCTTCGTCCACCGCTAGGAAAGTTGGCTGCCTATGCCGCGCCAGGAAATTTTTCTCGCCGGAGTCGATCCTTCAAATCTACAAATCAACCATTCGCCCTTGCATAGAGTATTGCTGCCATATATGGTCTGGAGCCCCTTCTCAAGGTACTTGATAAAATCCAAAGACGGATATGCAATGTAATTGGCCCTGATCTGGCATCTTTTCTACAGCCACTCTACCACAGACGTGCCGTTGCCTCCCCCTGTCTTTTTTATAAATACTTTCACGGTAACTGCTCCGATGAGCTGCTTTCGCTGGTTCCCAGACTTCATGAATTTCAGCGCTCAACTAGGCTGGCATCTCGCTCTCACCCTTTCACTGTCGAAACTATTAAATGTAGCCGTCTCTTCTACTTCAAAAGCTTTATGTCTCGCACTTCTCGCCTGTGAAACTCCATCCCCATTTCTTGTTTTTCTGATAGCTATAATCTCCAACTATTCAAATGTAACGTCAATCGACGTCTCCAGATGCCCTGATCTATCCCCTAACCCTCTCTTCATCCTTTCCTCTATCACTCATCTTTGTTCTTGCTCCTACCCTGAAACCCTTTGCGTGCTAGTGGCTTCCCGCCTTGCTTGGTGTTGAGTGCTTACAAAAAAGAAGCTCTCGCGTCGTTTCTGTTTTAATATTTACATTGTCCGGACTGTTGTTCGTTGTCATATTTACGGACTTGAAAGACACATGGCTCAGTGGATAAAAGCGTTGGTTGAATTCAGTGACTTGACTCAGAGCTGTAACAGCAGAAAGGAACAAAAACTTGGAGAGTTTGATTTAAAGGGAGATAACTAATACTGAGACAACTAGAAAAGGCTTAGCACCTGGACCTCAAACTGGTGGACGGGTTCAGTTTGAAAGTCCAACCAACTGAAGAAGGTGGAAGCGTACAACAACAGAAACGTCGAGAATATAGCAATGAACATGAGGACAATAGTCCGAACAATTTAAATTGTTGAAAAAATGACAATACATCATCTCAGAAATATAAACAGATTTTGTAGAGAAATACAATAGTTGTAGGGTTAAATTCGATTTTTGCCTGTCGAGGAATTCTTGTTTTTAATAGGTCCAAATGAAACAGACTCTCAAAGATACGGGTTCAAATCTCATCGGACTTTGTTTCAAATTCCTGATGGTTTATTTGATAGTCGTAACAAAATACTGACTGCTTATTATTAAAATTTCAAAATAACTTCTTTCAATAAAGTTTGATCAATTGATTTGTTTTCTACGGTTTATCAACCCATTGCAGGTTATTTAAAGTCAGAAAATAGTTTTAGGTTGCAAGAAATTTTTTGAGATATGAATGATTTAGTGATACACATTTTACTAATTAACCCATAGCGAAGGGGAGAATGTGTGGATTCATACCTTTCCAGAGGGAAAGGGTTATAAGTGAATATAACGAACACAGCTCTATTCCGAGCCATTATCCATTACACCACCCACACATCCACGCTTACAGCACCTGGTATTCCCAAGCGCTCAACCATCTAGTTATTGACCAGTCTCGATGTTGCTTAACTTAGGTGATCGTACGGAAACCGGTGTTTCAAAATGATGTGGCCGTAAGGCTTTTAATAACATTTAAAATAGTAAATATTGTAAAATAGTAACATTGTAAAACTGCGAACATTTCCTGTTATATGCGAGGAAGTATTCTGGTTGTGCGAGACCATTCTGATCGATTTTTAGAATACTTGAGTTCGATTGCCGTAAGATCTTACATGTTCGGCACTTTCTCTGCATGACTCATAAAATCTGATTAAATCACCAACCCTCAAAATTATCAAGAGGGATTCATTGTTCATATACGAAAAACAAAAGACGAATCAACTAACTAGTACATGATAGCGTAACATCATGCATAAATAATTTTTGAACTCTAAATATATCATATATGTATGCATATATATATATATATATATATATATATATATATATGCATGAACGCACAAGCACATAAACACACACACGCCCATACATATATATATATATATATAATTTTATCAAATATATGTATATATTATTATGTAACTATTTGAAAATGGGTCATTAATTTCGAAAACGTATAGAATTTGCCTAATGCTTATGTAACATTGGCCCTGATGCTAAAGGTCGAATTAGACAGGAGGAAAATGTTTAAAATACTTAACAAATACATTTTAGTGTTTTTCGATAATAGTCACACACACACACACATTGTTATGTTAATGGTAATATCCGTTTCCCTATAAGGAAATATTTGACATTCATTGACCGAACAGCCAATACTGCTCTCGGTCGAAATTTATAAAATCATTCTCTAAAAATAAATTTTCAGGAAAATAGGTTTCTCAAATCCAGTAGCTGTCATTGCTCTTTCTAGTATTGATGAGTTTCCTTCTAAACCTTTTGTTTGATGTAGTGTGGAATGTCAACATCTTTATTATGTGGTATCCATTTTAATCGTTGCTGCTGTTGGTACTCCTCACATGATGTGATTTCTATTATTTGGTACAGTTCTTTGTGATTTGTGATTCTGCAGCGCCAGTCTCCAACGTTCAGAAATAGATGGTATTTGCCCGCACCCTCAGAATTTACTTGCTCAAAGCCTATATGTATTAGAGAATATACATGATATATATATTTTTTGATAGTTAAAACCAGAAGTAATACGAAAGATTAACCAAATTTTATTTCTCTGAATACGACAAGGATAGAATTTAGGATTAGGCGGAATATAGAATGATAAATTCCTGGAAAAGTTTTTGAATAAAAATTTAAAATGAAAAACAGTTTAGAGTTACAATGGAAGAAAACCGTAGAAAAAAATGATATTAATTTGATTAAATTAAAATGATTTTATTCTTCATCAAAATATAACATTTCATATATTTTCTGATAAATATATATATGTAAACATCTAATAAAAAACATATTGCATGTGTTTGTTGTTTGACTGAAGCCTCAGTTTCCAGTAGGTCTTCTTCCCCATTACATAGGTTAAGAGGGACAGAGGAAAGCAATGTCTGACATGCTTGATGAGCTTAAGTGCATGGCGGAACAGGGTTTAGGAGAAATAACGAAAAGACAAAATTTATTAAGAGCTACAAAAGACAGGAAGTTGTGGAGAGCCATCATCCTCTACATTCTGAGAGGACACGGTATATAAAAAAAGTAACTTTCAGTCTTTAAAAAGCGATTCAGAAAACTGAACGACAGTCAACTTTCCATCATATTGAGAAAGGTACCATTGAAGTTCTCTGTTCAGTCAAAGCCGAAATAGATGCTTTCATTTCCTCTTGGAAATACCAGTTAAAAACTCAATCTTCTCCATGAATCACGCTCTTCCGTTATTACCCACAAAAACTACTATTTCCGATTATACCAGCGTGACATTTTTCGTTACTTCACGTAATAAATATAAACGTGTCCTTGAAGGAGCTAAGTCGTTTCTGTTTGTTGAGAGAATGAGATACCGTAATACATCTAATAAATTTAGCTAGAGGCTCTGTAATAGTGTATTAAATAAGAGTAAATTTTCTATTCTCCCTATCTTCAATCAATTTGAGGTGTTAACATCTGTTGATAAAGCTGAATGGTTAGCCCTTAAATTTTCCTTAAATTCTACTTGTGACTCATCTGGAGTATCTTTCTCGAATTTCCCATTTAGAACTGAGTCGCTGTTGAGTGATATGCATATAACCTTCTATGCTTTCTGCTATCAACTCTAATCTGGATACCCACAAAGTATGTGGATCTGATGGTATCTGTGTAAGAGTCCTTAAGAAATGTATTACTGAACTGTCTCTTCTTCTCTCTAAACTGTATGATAAATGACTCGTTGCCTCTTGCTTCCGTGCTTGTTGAAAATTCTCTTCTGTTGTTCCAGACTTGAAGAACTTAGGTGAACCGGCCAACCCTTCCAACTATCGGACTTTTAGCCTACTACAACTTTTTTGGTAAATTGATCCAAAATTCTAATCAATGCTGAATAGTTAAGCATCTCACATCGCAGGGTATTCTTTCAAACAAACAATATGGCGTTCATTTCTCTGGGTCAACTGCTGATGTATTAACGATTATTTCGGAAAGAGTCGTTTGGACATCTTGAAAGTCTTCGTCGGGTTTTGGCATACAGGTCATCTCCACAAGTTATGGTGTCTCCTGGCGAATTTTGAACTGATTCAGTCTTTGTTATGAAATCGTGAAATGAGAGTTGTTCTAAACGGCCACTCCTCTAGATCCATCTGTACAAATGCAGATGTCCTCCAGGGCTTCTATCCTTGTACCTACTTTGTTTTTAATTTTCATTCATAATCTTCTGGGTGACATCAACTCTCAACGTGGTATCTATGCTGATGACACAACTATTTACTTCTGTTTCTGATCAATTTGATATGGTCAAATTGGCAGCTGATCTAACAAACGCCCTGCGGTCTGTTGTTAACTAGGATAAAAGAATGGCTTATGAATTTTAAAGCTTCTAAAACAAAACTGCTCTCTATTAATCATCCGAGAGACCCTCTTTGCATGGCTGATGCTAATCACCAGGAGAGTGACTTATTGCGCCTTCTCGGGTTAAGATTCTTGGTCGATATCATGTGGAAACACTACACTGAATCCATTGCTATTGCAAAATTCTAGTATATAAAACTATGTAAATGTGTTTCTTTTGGAAACTAATATCTTAGTATATAACATTATTTTTAGCAGTCGCAGTTTAGTGGTCATTCTGACTTTGTTCTACACAAACATAATTGTGCTACTTTGTGGCATACGGTTGTTTTTATATTGTGCCTTTTATTATCTTTTTACAACATATTTTCGCTGCAGCTATAGCTGAGTTTTAAAGTGTTACATCTGTTGTATATTTTATGTAGTTTCTCTGATTTTGTGTAATGTCTATGAGTTTGACGAAAATCTAGCTTATGTTCGTTTTCAGATTTTTTTATATTGCACTATAGGTGTTTACTTATCTGTTGCATTTCATGATGTAATTGGTGTGAATGATAGCTTTACCAAAAAATTGCTGTTCTTTAGAGCCGTTTCATCTTCTTTTTGATTTCATTGAAAATACTTCGTCACAAAAGTTGTCGGATAATCTGTGTCTGATTTATTGTAGGATTTGTTGGCGGAGGTGTGTATATTTTTCACTCAATTCACCCCGAGCAAGGCAGTAAAGCCACTAAGACAAAGAGTTACTGGGTGTGAAAGAATTTGAAAACAGAAAACATTATAAAGAAGCAAGAAGTGCGAGAAAAGAAAGTGTTAGCATAGATGAGACATTGTTGGCAATCTAGTATTGCGCTTAAATTCATAAGGTCTGGGTACCACAGCGAAGAGCCTATCCAAACAATTACCATGAAACTATTTATAGAAAAGGGCCAAGAAGCAACTTAACGGCGGTCGTAAAGTGACTGAAACTGAGATGCCAGGTCAGAATCAATAATACTGCTGATTCTCCTTTGAATTTTATCAAGAATCTCTAAATAAATAGCAGAAGCACCGGAGCAAATGTGGCAGTAATATTCTAAGCCTGGCTGAATTGCAGACTTATTGATATTTAAGATAGATTCCTTTATACGCTTTAAAAATTTTATTAAGTGATATTTTCATTTGCTTCTTGGTGTGCTGTTGCTTAAAGAAAATCGAGAATTACAGTTCTATAGAGTGAGTGAGACAGCACTTGGCCAATTTATACTTTCATTTAGATAATTGATGCACATAAGGAAGGCAGTTATATCGATAGTTAACCGCTACAGAATTGTATAAATGCTAAACTGTGAAGTTCGCTGTAACCAATAGCGCACAGTTTCTTCATTAAGATTTCATGAATGAACGAAAGACGTAATACTCATTGTGCAAAATAAAAATTGGCGTGTATCAAATATGAGGATCCATGATAATAAAGTTTGCAGAAATAAAAGTGTCAGATTTGATCTAAAGAATGCTACACTTATTGAAATAAAAAGTAACTTCATCAGGCGGAAAAATCTTGAGAGTGCCGCTATCGAAACTTACCAAAATAGAAATCTACGTCCTGGACTTTTTCAAATATTTCCATTCTTTAATGAGTTACTACTTTCTTATACGACAAAGGTAAAAAAAAAAAAAAAATGAAAAATAAAAATATAAAACAGTTAAATTCATAACCACATATTATTTAAAATTTATAAGACAAATTAATCTCAAACCAAAATAATTTAAATATTAATTAGGATAAAAATTTCAAGAACATCTTTTACTCACTTTCTTTTTTTAGACATTACATTATAACATACCTTAACTTTTCAGTGAACCTGACGAATATTTATGAGCGTTCCGCAATTTAAAAGCTTAGAAAAACTAACATTTTTGCTATTGTCTAATTATACTTGTTAAAAAAATAAAATTCTTGCATTTGACTTGATTTACCCCGCAGAGGACGAAACGCGTTGGTTAAGTTTTCCTGTTGTCGCTATTCATATTTTCTCTTACAGCTATATTCTATCTGAAATATGTGAGAGAGTGAGTGTGTGTGTGATAAGTTTAACCTGATAAACAGAAAGGAACTTTGTTTAAACATTGTTAACCAATCGAACTATTAC